AAATATGAGTGGTGTTATTCATAATGCTTACAAATATTGTGGCCATTTTCAGAGCCTCTATAGACGCCTGATTAATAAATGGTTTAATGTTATTATCTTTTTCTTCCTTCCTCTGTTCTCTTGTTATTAATTTTCCGAACATTGCTTGATGATAGCAGAGCACACCGCACATTGATTTCACCATACCCTGTTCTAAAGCAAGTATAACAGAGCTTTCTTTGTTGTTTTTGAATAATAATTACAATAATTGAATAACTTAATAATATTCAAAATTGAACAATAAGCATGTATCACTTGGAGTGAAGTGATCCACCACGCCTTTAGGTTACCCTCTCTCAAATGTCAAAAGTAATTCTCATCAGTTCATAGGAACTAATCTCAATGCTTATGATCTAAATTTAAAATTTTCAATTAATAATTTTTAAATAATTTTTTTTTCCAGAAACGTGCTATTAAAAGATTACATTTATTTTGGATTATCTACCTATTAAAGTAAAACATTTTTTAAAAACAAAGATATAAAAAATTAAATCTCAACCGTTCATATTAAATTTAAACGGTTGAGATTGATAAGTATTATGGTGTTTATTACTGCAATGAGTATCGAAACTAACAGACAGAGGCGCTACTACTAAACGTATTGTGAGTGTGTGCTTTTTTTTTTTCACCAGCAATTTTTGCATATTCATAGAACCAGTATGGAATATGAAAAACATTAAAAAAATCAATAACTTGTCATAATGGAAAAGAAGTGCAAGCACATTCTTGTTCAAAATAAGTCAATAAATAATCCCTGTTTTTTTAAAAAAAAAAAAATTTTAACTGACGTAAAATATATATTTTTGTTAGGAGTGACATGACCTTAATTTCGTTCATTATCTCCATTATTCCTTAACTTCCTCTCAATCCCACCAACTCATTTACTCTGACACATTATCTTTAGGCCTTGTATGCATGGCTTCAATTTTATCTAAAAATAGTAAATAGTTGTTATGCACTTATAATTTTAAAATGATTAGTTTTAAATCCTGCAATTATTTTCCCAAAAAAATGTATTTAAATTCTTTAATGATGGTATTTATATTTTTTGGTTGATGTTGGAAACTTATTTCTTTCATTTTTTGGGGATGAACTTATAAGCCTCCATGTAACCTTTTTCATTTTCATTTATATTTAGTTTTAGAATTATTCTCTTCTTCAGGTACTTCGTTGGACTTCTTGTGTTTACTTTTGCGGTTTCTGAGTAGCTAAAACAGGATACGTTTCTTCCATTTCTTTTTCCTTCTTTCTTTCTCTTCTGTGCTTTTACCCTGTAGCTTCATCTTCTCCAGACTGCCCAATGGCATAGCCAAATTATTCACATTTTATTTCATGCTTGTTCAAATTTATTCTGTTTTACAATCTATCGATGTTAGCCTGATGCAAGCAACACCTTTCTCTATTTGAATTCCCAATATCCATAATTCCTGGTTTTGGAACACGAATGTCACGAACGGTCCAAGATTTTCCTTCAGTTATACGATGCCTCTTTAATTCCAATGAAGAACACTGCCATTCGATCTGGTCGACCAAAGTTAATTCCTTTTCATGCAGATTATAATGCCTTCCTTCTACTAATTTTTTGTCTGTGTCTTGTGCGGATATTCTTTTCTATACTCTTTCGTACATGCCTTTGTAAAGAATGAGTTTTGAAGAAACCTCCCAATCAGTTTCGAACATTACACATTGATCATACCATGCTCTGTTTTAAAGCAAGTAAAACAGAGCTTTCTTTTTCGTTTGGATGATGATAACAATAACAATTATAATAACAATTTCCTTTGCCGGAGAACTGGGGGGAAAATAAATTAAGACAATAAAAGGAATTCTCATTTTTGGCATCTCAGAAGTAACATCCTTGAAAACAGTCACAGCTTTATGGTTGTGGAGTCTTGAGAGATCTGATACCAAACATAGAAGAAATATCAATATCCAGTTAAAGGTACTTTGATTCGTGTGAGACCAAAGATCCGAGCTCGAAGACTGAATTAGACACTTGAGCCAACAACTCGCTGACTCACTCATTGTCAAACCATAACTCGCAAGAATCACAATAAAACAATTCTTTCCATTAAAAGTCATAACTATGTCCGGCTTTAGAGTCAAGCGAATCAACTATAAACAGTGACCAATTCCGCCAAAATCGATAGCAAAATTCAATGTCGAAATCAGAACAAGTAAGTTCAACTCGGACTTACTAAAGATTTATCATTGACTGATCCTGACAAGATTTCAATAGCACTAGCTTCATATAGATCATATCAGGTTCCAAGTTTGTGAAATTTTATAATAAAGAGGAATAAAAGAATGTGGGACCACATTGGCAGCCCTTGAAGGGAGAATGCCCACTTTGGAAAGAACCAATCTGTAAGTGAAGTGCGTGCGTGTGTGTGTGTGTGTGTGTTTTTTTAATGATGTTAACATGTCAAATGCCATGTAACTCGGACGTGATTAATTAGGTTCTTTAGGACATTCAGGACATTTTCAAAGGTTTTGTAGATACCTGATTAAGTGGTTTAGTGTTATTAACCTTTTCCTCCACCCTTCGTTCTCTTGTTAATTATTTTCCGAACATTACTTCACAATAGCCAGCGGACACCACACATTCTTAATTATAAGCATAACAAAGTCTTATCATATATACATGGAAAGAGAGAAATTCTGAAGTGCTTGGTGACGCCAAGTTCTCCCGTTTGCAAATTCTGAAGTTAAATGCTGAAATTAGTGTGAAAATGAGATATTGTCTCCCAAAGAGAGTGATGAGTCAAGTTGATTTGGATGATCTCAGAGTCTGCATTATTGTGTAGAATCCATCTTCCTATATGTTATAAATGTTTTTGTCAGCCCTAGAATATTTATATATGAACGCTCTTAGAAGGTGGCCTAAATTTCTTTTCCTCTCTATGTGCATGCATGCGGCTGTTCTGATTTGATGGAATGAATTAACATTCTACCCACAAAGAAAAGAGAAATTATGATTTTTATTGTTACTATTACTATTATTAAAAACAATGATTTATTAAAAGAGAAATTCTGAACATAACGCTAAGGTCTCAATCGCGTATGGAAGGGAATTGGCCTTACTTATACGATGCGGATTTCGATATCCAACGAGAACAGGGAAAATGCATTGACTCAGAATCAGAGATGATGAAGACTTGTGGATATATGATGTTGGAAACACATCTGAAGAGGACACCACACATTGATTTCACCGTGCTCTGTTTTAAAGCAAGTAATACAGATCTTTCTTTTGTGTTTGAATAATACTGATAATTCAATAACTTCATATTCAAAATTACTGTGCCAAAACAAACCAGTACAGGAAGGATATTATGAACTGCCATGCAGTTCCACCCACTCCGACTTTAAAATTTCAATATTTTTTATAAACATTGTTTCGAGATGGAGAGTATTCTCGTCATAACAAGTACATCAAATGCACAATGGTTTATTTTTAATCACCGAAAAAAACATGAAGCATGAAAATGAAATCCAAGCTAAAATCCAAAATGTTTATTTTTGGCGGCAATCATTTCCCAACATTGGTTTTGCCTTGCTAGAATGCCTTGGCGAGCCTTCAAAAGTTGAGTATGATTCGCCATCACATTTGCATGCTCTTGCAATGCAGCATCCAGGTCCTTTTGAGCCAATTCCACCACTCGTGCTGCCTCAACTTCTTGATTTCGAGTAGCCGCAAGCAATGCCTCATTGGTTTTGAGATCACTATCCAAACCCTTTAGAATTTCTTGAATGCCATCAACTTCAGATACATCACTATTAAAAACCTTAGTCTTAATAGATTCAAGCCAGTCCTTGTCAAAACCAACAAAACGAGCATCCTTTAATTTCTCTTCCAACAACCTCTTGTCTGCCTCAGTGATTGTGAAGGGTGTTTTGGTGGTTAGAATATGGAGTATATCGATCAAAACCCTATAGGATATGCGTAGCATTTGGGCGCTTCGATCATTTGGAGACAGACGTAGTTGTGGATCAGTCATGAGTGCCTCTGCCAATAAAGAAGTCTCAGAACCCTCTAATTTCATCATCTCAACTATCTCTTGCACCCCACCAACATTCAAAGCCCGATCAATCTCAATAACAGAAGGTGCCAACTTTGACGGAGTGGAAAATGGAAGCAACGAAGATTGTGCATGCTTAGTATTAATATCTGATGACTTGGTCACATCAGGATGCTCCATTTGGCCTAATAAACCATCATTATTAGTAGAATATTTAAGTGGCCTAAAGGAACATTATGAATTAAAAGGAAATAGGTAAATGACCTCTAGAACATGACGGCTCTTGTTCCATCTGCCTAAGGTTGCTTGGATCAGCAGTTACATGCTCAATTGAATCTGGTTGACCACCATGGGACGCCATATTTTCCTTGGATTCATCTTGGATTACATTTGTCTCATTGATTTCCTTGCCACTAACGTCCTTGTAAAGAGTAGTTGGTTGTGGAATGGGTACAGCATTACCAATGACAGTGGCATGAGACTTATCAGAAATTTGAATATCACCTGAAACATCATAAGTGTGATGGTTAGTGGTTTCAAAACCATTTTGTCTACTTCTTCTTAAACTAATAAAGCAATCATAGAATGGAAATTATTGAAAAATTAATTGAGAAAGATGACAGTCATTAACAGATGAATAAATGATTGAGGGAATGTCACTAAAAGAAGAGTACAAGGAAACTCACCATCTGTAGGCTTGCAGAGTGAAGCTTTCAAAGATTTAGGACTTGGTGGCAAGATCGCCTTAGAAGTTTGCTCATTTGAAATAGTTGTTGTGCACGGCACAAATGGGTCTCCTATGAAGACGTGTGTACGGATAATAGTTATCAAATGATCTAAGGATAAAAGATTTCATTTATACATAGAAAACAATTGAGTATCATACCATGAATGGAAGTCTTAGGCTTCTCCTTTAGGAAAGAGCTCTTTGTTCTTATGTCACTTTGATGACCCTGGGTAGTTATCAAGCCACCTGCAAAGCCCAAAAATAAATAACAAATATATTACTTAGAAGACAAAACACTGATGTGTTATCTTGTCTTTTCTCTTGCTCTTCCTCGTGAGATTGTATATCATGTCTTGTCATTTCTTTTTTTAACTGTGACTCCATCATGATTGTTTCTCTTTTCATGTCTTTGTTGGCTGGCTCGTCCTATGTTAAGATAAATATGAAAGAGGCATAAGCTCAAATATTTAGCATAAATATACGTATTGGTGTCAGAAATAACAATAAGTTGCATTTGAGTATTGATTATATAATGAACTAAATGCCATGTTTGTTGTTCATATTACTTTTATTAGGTATAATTAAATCAATTAGATGATAGTTGTTTTAGTTTTCTTTTGAATTTGGGTCTTGAGAATTACTTGAATACCGCCTTTTTTTCCAATCAACCTGCATCAAACCCAATGGTTAGTGCTTTCTTTTTAGGCTGCACCTGATGTTCCATTCGATGTACCTTTATATAAAATAGAGTTTTATATAAAAAAGAATAAGTGTGACTTTTAAGCAATTTTCTTCAATAGTTCTGTTTGTTGCATAGACAGCCTACAGGATAAAACTTTGCTTAGTTCATGTCAAATTCATTGAAAAATGGGAATATATATAATATTTATATATTTATGTGTTTGAGAGTTTACTGTTGGCATTTTTTATATAACTTTCAAGATATATGTTTTTCGTTTAGCAACTGCATTTTTTTTTAAAAAAAATTCATTGGGTTCATATGACACTAGAGACATAAATAAAAAAATAAAAAAATATAAATAAAAGACAATCAATCTCAGTTTGGTCATGCTTTTCTTGAATTAGTTCTAATATTTTGACAAAAATTTTAGGAAAATTATTTTAGGTGTTTAGGGAAGCTAATTGAGGAGGAAAGTTTTTATAAAGCGTCTCAAAATAATTTAGGTGTCCTAAGCCCAAAAGAAAATTGGACCAATGCTTAGCCCAACATAATTTTAGTGTCTCAGAATAATTTTTGTGCACCAGATTTGTTGGGCGGGATTCCTTAAATGACAAAATGAGAAGCTTCCATAGTATATGTTGCCTCTGCTCAAACCACTCGAAGGCACCTTCACATTCATTTTCCCTCTTGCAAGTTGCAACAGTAAAAAGAGAGAGTGGTGAGAGACCAAGAGAACCGAGGGGAGGCCAAGAAGTTATCGAAGAAGAGGCAAAGCTCTTCCCTCCCATGCAACCGAACATTTAGGTAAGGACCTTAAACCACCTTCCATCAATATTTTCTCCGATGGTTGGGTGTTCTGCAAGTAGATGAGAAGTTTAAATCTGATTTTTTAGATGATGGATTATAGCTTGTGGGTGTTGATTTTATTCCATGCATGTCGATTTGTGTGAGAAGAAGTGGATTTTTGAATCTGGAGTTTCTATTTCAGGGGACCATTATTATTTGGCTTCTCTTACGGGAGCTAAAAACTGGAATTCAGAAGCTGAATTTTTCTCACTGTTATAATGTTTAATTATGTACTAAAATTATATTTAAGTGGGAACTAAAATATAGTAAACACCTAAAGGCTTCAAGGTGACATATGGATGACGTGAAGTGGTTAAACCAAGTTTTATTCTCTTCCCCTGTTTGGTCAAAGTCATTGGAATAGAGAGAATTAAGTTCGGAGGAATCTAAAGTCTAAACCCCAAGATGCAATTTTAAGAGAAGTTTATGAATCTGGAAAATTTTAGAATGTAAAGATTCTGGTGGCTCCTATATAGTGATTAGATGGGCAATAGGAATATCAACTCATTAGCTTTGTGAACTTTAATTCTTATCCCCTGTTTGGACAAGTTCAAACTTTTGCGACTCAAAGAGGTTTAAATGCTACTGTTTTGACGAGTTATAACATGGAAGAGGTGTTTTAAATTCCCATACTACATCAAGGCATGTCTGAAGGCCCTTAGCTTGTGTTTGGTGAGCCTTTTAAAGTGATTGGCAATAAGAGAGGACTAAATTTTATAAGCTTCTCTCTTCGGCCTTGTGTTGGATAGCATAGTTATTTTAAGAGGAAGTTAAGTTTTGGTTAAATTCGAATATGATAATGAGCTTGCTAGCATAAGTTTGGGAATATTAAACACAAAATTAAATTAGTAAGGCCACCTTGTTCGGCCTGCATGATCGAGGGACATAAAGACGAACATTAATTAATTTAAAGGCACCAATGGTTTCAAATGTAGTACAGTAGGATTGGGGAGGGGGAGTCAAGAATTAGTTAGAGCATAAAGCTTTTTCAAGAGCTAAATTTAGAGCTTTGAACCACTATTTTTGGAGCTATCTTGCATTAGTTATGGATTTTTAAAGTATTTTAGAAAATCTCATCCAAACAATACAGGAAAGCAGTAGTGACAGAACCTATAGTGTTCTGGGGAAAAAAAAATTTTAATTGTTGGCCTTTCTGGGATTCTAAGGAGTCATAAGTGGTTCTTAAATGGCTAAACATCTGTAGTTAGTGAACCTAAATAAGGTTTGACAGTAACTTTATTTATTTCCTTTGTTAAAAGAAATATTATTATTTACTAATTTTTTTTATTTCAGATTTCCAACCTACTCCTTGATAAAATTAAAATAAATTCTTAAAGGTTTGCCACCTCATAAAATTAGAATCAACTGTTTTAACAAGAAATCAATCAAATATGATGATGATGTCTCTTGGTGTTTTTAAAATGGCATGCTTATCACAATGGAATTATATATTGTTTCTTCAATACCCTGTCCAAAACTATAAGTTTTTTTTTCCCAGTTGATGTCAAATTCATTAAGCAGTTGGAACACACACATTTGCAATAAATTTATATTTAAGTAATTGGAATAGGAGAATAAAAGAGAAGTCTCAAAATGTATAAAAGAGATTTCCGAAGCATATTTGAGTCTTACAAATATTATGTAAAATTTAAATGTCTCAAATATGAACTATTGGTCAAAAAGCCTATTTCCGGTGAGGATTTAAAGAAATTAAAGAATTTAAGTGGGAACTAAAATATAGCATACACCTAAAGGCTTCAAGGTAGAATTTAAACCGAGTTTTATTCTCCTCCCTTCGGTCAAATTAATTGGAAAAGAGAGAATTAGGTTTGGTTGAATCTAAAGTCTAAAATGTGAACTTTAATTCTTATCCCCTCTTTGGACAGCACCGTTTAGATGTTCATTGAATTAAAAATGTTGTGGCTCAGAGAGGTTTAAATGCTACTGTTTTGATATGTGATGACATGGAACAAGTGTTTTAAATTCCCAAACTACACCAAAGGCGTGTCTAAAAGCTTGTGTTTGGTGGGTCTTTTACAGTGATTGGCAACAAAAGGGATTGCATTTTATAAGCTTCTCCCTTAAGGCCCTGTTTTGGAAAACTTAGTTTTAGCGAGAGGAAGCTAATTTTCTGTTAAATTCGAATATGATGATAAGCTTAGCAGAGACCATGGTGTAGGAGCTAATCTGTAGCATAAGTTTGGGACTATTAAACACTTTTTAAATTAGTAAGGCCTTGTTCGGCCAGCATGCTTGAGGGACATCCGAAGATGAACATTAATTAATTTAAAGGCTCCAATGATTTCAAATACAGTATGGCATGGGGGAAAAGTTAAAGAATTAGTTAGAGCGAAAGGCTTTTCAAGAGCTACAAATTGAAAACAATCAAGCATGCATATAATCATTTGACATAAACTTACCCATTTTCAAGCAATCAAAGGGACAGAATTTCCAGAACATTGCTACAAATTGAAAACAATCAAGCATGCATATAATCATTGATGCGTGACCATTGAAGAAGCAGTAAAATGATGCCATTAGCACTCAGAATCATACCTTCGTGAGGGGTTGTTGTGTTGCTTCTCCCGTATTTAAAGATTGTTCGGTACTCAAATGAGATGAAAGCTTCTCCTCTGCTTTTTCTTCACCTTGAGAATATGTTGTTTCAGAGCTTGCTTGAAAATGGGTAGTTGAAGTTTATGAGATTAAGAGATTTTCATTGTTATAATAAAACTCATAATAATTTTCAATTCTAAAGAACAAATTACTTTTCTCAATACATACCATAAAAAGAAAAGTTGGGACAACCAATCACTCTCGTGTTATGATTTTCTTTCAAAGTTTGAAAATCAATCCCATGGCAGATACTAACAAGTTTGGGAAGATACTGTAGTATCAATTGACTTAGTTGTGGAAGCACATCCTTCATGACCTTCTCTTTCATCTTCCCTTCTCTTTCATCATCATCATTTGTTCCATTATCTTCTTCAACAATGTTAACTAATTCTTCACAAAATGATATATGTAGTTCTTTCAACATTGGTAGGTTTCGCACCACAGATGTGGAAAAGATAACTTTGAGCTTTCCGCATTCATCAATGCGTAGCGCTTGAAGACAATGGAAGCATATGATATGCTTAGGCCCCACACATATATTCACCAACTCACTTAGATAATACAACACCAACCGTTGTAAGCTTGATGTCAGTGGTTCAAGTCCATCCCCCTTTTTTTCTTTGCCCACATGTGTCAAATCAACAATTTCTTTTATTTTACAGGATCCAATTTCAAGGGTTTTCAAAGTTTGCCTCTGCATCTCAATTGCCTACGAAGTCCATGAAAGAGATATATCAATTTCAAATTTTTTTTTTTTTAAAAAAGAACTTTAAAAGGGGTAGCCCAATTTGAACAAAATTATAGTTAGAATTTAGGGTGAGTGAAAACATTAAATAAAAATTAAGAGGCAACGAATACATTTGAATTTTAAATATAAGTGCTCTTTGCAAACATGTATGTACGAAAATAACCACAAAAAGTCCCTTAGAGTTTGGGGGGTAATATTATTATTTTCTGCTTATTTAAGAGAACAAATGAATGTAGTGAGAAATAGTATTAAAACATAACTTATCATTTGGGGGAATATATTAGGATTAGTAAGAGAAGTTGAACAGAGTTATACCTTTGTTTCCTGTTGTTTTGCATGCCAACGAATCAAAAATTCATTGAAAGGTCTCGTAAACTCTGAGAACCCTGCCAAGGCAATGGACCTTGGATAAATGCTTCCAAATGCGTCGAATTCCTACAAGCCAATAAATCGTTAAAATATCATCACGCAATAATACATAAGAGGTTTCAGTGAAAGTAAAATACATAATAAAATATACTAGCTAGATTAATTTGAAATAAAATTTAGCTTAATGTTCCATTTTAAAAAACTGTGCCAGTTATCTTATTCATACTATAATCAAGTTAAATCTTAAGTTTAAATAACTATAATTATATTTCTTCATCTTATAGGCACATTAGAAGAAGTAGAGTATTTTGATAGCTGCAGACCTTATTCCAAAAAATGAATTTGTTAGACCTCTAATTGTAATACTAGTGTTTTCAGTTTTTTTGCCGGACTGTGTTTTCAGTTTTTGTAATATATAAATTTTGGAATAATTTTTTCTGTAATATTAGTAAACAAACAATTAATACAAGAGGTTTAGCACATTAAAAGATCCATAGATAATTGTATTTCTTGTATCAAAATTAATGTTTGTAAAAATGGCATTTAAGGATCTTCTGTAATTCTTAATTATGTTAAGGATAGTGAATTTCGAAAATATCAAGGACGGGCCAAAGTTCTTGGTTGAAATCAAAAGTTTCGCTGAATTGATTTTTTCATTACTGTACTTTGATTTTTTTAATACATCTATTTTCAATGTTTTCAATACTTTTATCTATTTAATACTCATTTTTAATGTTTACCCTACTTCGGAAAAAAAATCAAATATGAGTGTTGAAAACATCAAAGCTGACTAGCAAAGCAAATCAAAGTTAAGTTAAAACATGAATATTGAAACTATTAAAATAAGAATTGAAGCGATACCATAAACCTTTTATGTGTTGAGCATTGTTAACTATATTTCTTGCAATAAAAGGCATGTGTGCATGCACATGAATATGTTTATGTATGTGTATTTTTGCCCAGGAACAATTGTTGTCACAAGATGTATTAACAAAATCTTGTTACAGATTCAGTCAATCATGTAAAAACAAGTACTTCAAATTAATTTTAAATAATGTATCATACCAAGGATCACAATAACTATTTTTAACACTCATATCTCATTTAATTTAATTGTAAATCATTTTTCTTTCTGAAATAATTAACAATGTATAATTCACAAGAGAGAGACTTGAATGTAAAAAAAAAAAAAATCTGAACATAAATAGGGAAGCGAGCTGATCATACCTGTGGGATTCCTTCGTCAAGCAATCTCCCTTTAGAAACAGCAACATCAGCCTCTTCACTTGTCGCCTTTGATTTAAAACAACATACTTGAGCCCAAGAAAAAGAACGTATCTTGGTGCTTGGAGGCGTGGGTGCTGGCCGTTGTGGTGGTGAAGAGGTGGATTTTTCATACTCTTTGAAAACACCAACCAAACTTGGTAGCTCATAAAGGTCCATGCTTTCCATGGTAGGGAGCATAACATTTACCTTTGAGAACTTATCAAATATATATTTCAACTTCTCGCACCGTGATATGATTATTCTTTCCAGAGGCCATCCACCATGAAGGATTGGCAATATTATTTCTAAATTGTCACAACAATCAATTTCAAGAATTTTAAATTTTGGAAACAGAGTGTCGTAGCTCTTTTGATCATTGTCACCATCACCACCAACTATTTCCCCTCTTGAACTCTTATCTTCTACAATGCATTCCAATGCATCACATCCATCAATGTTCAACTCTTCTAACTGCAAAAGACTTTGAGCAGTGGATGGGAGGAAAATTGTCGTCAGCTTTGGACACTCGTTCAGCTTCAAGGTCTTCAGATGACACAGGTCATAGTGGCCATTAAATAATACATTGCTTAGTCCCATTTCAAAAAGATATAGTCCAACTAAATTGGAAAAAGCATTCTTCACATCAAGACGATTGTTTGCAACATCAATGAGAAATTGCATGTCAGGCCAAGAATCCAATCGAAGAATGATCAAGTCAGTCATGCCTCTGTTGTCTACTAGAACAATATCAGGGACAAGATTTTCCTGTTTTGTTTCTCCATAACCTTTTAAGATGAGAAGCTCAGCTGTTTTAACAAGTTGCTTAAATGTTGCCTCAGAGATTAAATGCCTTAAATTACCTGGCTTAAAGCATCTTGATAGGGAATCACATTGCTCAAAATAATCTAAAAATTCATCCTGACCATCACAAGATATTTGATATATCTGTAATGTGTGAAAAGATGCTTTATGAGAAATTGTATTTTCTTTTTTCTCCTCATCATATTTATTACTCAAAAAAGTCAACTCCTCTAGCTTTGGGCATGCTTCAATCAGTTCAAAAGGATTACTCATATTGATTTTACAATTTTCTATCCTTAAGAATCTCAACTTCTCTAGCTCAAAATTTTCTCCAGGTGATTTAATAATTGAACAATCATCGAACCATAGACTCTCAAGATTTGGTAACCTTCCCAACATAGAGATGCTGTTGCATAATTCAAAATTTCCTATCTTGAGAGTTTGAATATTTTGCAATGACTGAATTGACGAAAGCAGCAGTGGAGCTGAAATTCGATAGTAAGTTTCACTCCATAGAAACCAAACTTTGAGCTTTTTCATCACTGTAAAGAATGTATCAGGGACTTCCAAATCCTCTGAGTTATCTAGAACCCAAAGTAAAACCTCAAGGTTTCTACCATCAAATTGTCTTGGAAAATAATTGCTTTTCCAAAATAAACATTGCAAGCCGTCATTAGGCGGTTTAGATTCAATGACATATTGAACATCCTTTTCTCCTATCAATAAGGCTACTTCATGAACCAAATCATGCATCTTTACACATTCCCTCTCGGCATTCAATAATAAAGAAGACTCTAGGAGTTCCACTATAGCATCAATTACCTTTCTTCTTCTTTCATTGTAGTCATCAACTTCCCGAAAAGAGCCCATTGCTGTACCAATTATGATTAAAAACTCCATAGGAATCTCAAAACCTTCAAGGAATAGGGAAGATATCAATAGGAGCTTTTTGGCTTTTTTCATTTTTCAAATTATCGTAGCTCAACTTCAAACCTTCATAGACCCCCTTTAAATCATCACCACGAACCCTAAATATTGGCTCACCTCTTTGCAAGTTCCTCAAGGCTTCCTTCCAAACTATAGAAGGTCGATCTTTTAATGATCTTGCTACAGCTACAATTACAATTGGTACTCCATGGCAATGCTCCACAATTTTTTGTGCCAAACCCTGCAAATTAGAGGAACTATTTGTATTCTTGAGGAAAAGTGCCAATGCTTCCTTGCGGGTCAATTTATCTAGACAAACGTGTCTTTGGCATCCCATTTTTGTACAAATCTCTTTGCTCCGAGTGGTTATCAATACAGTACAACCCTTGTGCAGGTGATGAGGAGGAATCCCCAACTCCTTTGTGGGATCAAAATCCATCCACACATCATCTAGTACTATAAGAAGTTTTTCTTTTAATGCTTTGATTTTGATCAATATTTTGTCAGAGAGTACTTCATCTGCTTCATCCTTTAAGTCCAAACCCAAATTCCTAGCAATTTCACCTCGAAGCTTGTTGAAATCTGAAAGCTTAGAGACAACAAGAAAGATGACTTTTTCAAATGTGGATCCTTCCAACTCAGCACCCACTTCTGTTGCCATTGAAGTTTTGCCTGTTCCCCCTAAGCCTTGCAATCCAATCATATTGTTTTCTTTATCTTTGAGCGCCGTTTTAAGTTCTTCAAATGTTGAATTTCTACTCTCAAAATGCATGAAATTTGGTAAGCAATGGTATTTTATACTTGGAAGATCAATTGGTCCTACTACTATGTCAGAGTTACGTCTCTTTAGAAGTTTGTCAATATCTAGAGTCCGCTTCTCCAAGTCTTTGCCTTTTTGATATTGATGCCAACAATTAAGACACAAGTCATTAAAACATTTCTCTTTCTTAGTGTCAACATCAATGAGTTCTTCAGCTTCATGTGTCCATTGTAAGGCTACAGATGTGATATGAGAAACACCTCTTGCTTGATCAATTCTTCTCCTTGCATCTTTGAGTTTTGCATTCAATCTTTCCTTTGCCTGCTCATATTCTTGAACATAACTATTGAAGCAACATAAATATTGAGCTTGATTTTTCACCAAGTTCATTATACTTTGGACTTCGTCCTCTACAAGTTTAGCAGGGATGCCCTCCATCCCTGAAAGAAATTCACTATAGGTCATATATTATGACTCAATGAATGCATTTTGAAGCTCGATTTGGGTGGAGGTTTTAAATGGGAGGTCACTTAGACTACATTAAAATTTGAAACCCCATAAAATTAGAGGCTTAAATTTACTTTTAATATTCTAAACACACACTCGCGCGCGCGCGCGCACGTAAATTGAAATATTTTTATGTTTTTGGTATTCATCTCTAGATTTAGGTAATACTTCTACTAGTAAAGAAGAAAACGTGATCATGGTTTTGCTCTCAAGTGGAGATATTCTATTGGAGTGCTCTAATGCTTCTATCCTAATTGATAAATTTAGATTTCTTAAAAAATATAAAACATATAAAATTTAAAAATATATGATTTTTATAATATATTGATTATAAATATATGTTGTTTCTTTGGTAATTACGTGATAGACTTTACCTTTATATTAACTTAACAAATATTTAAAACTACAATCCATAAATGTCAATATTTTTATAAGACGCAATATATATGTGTCCACAAACTAAACTTTCCGGGTCCAACGCTGTCATGACGTGGCAAATGTGTAGCCAAGTGTCTGCTGTCATGGATTATTTGTGTTAGTATATTATCCTTTTTATATATATAAAAAAACATTTACTAAAAAAGTTGGAAATAAAAATTTTCAAACCAGGTTTTCTTTAACTTTATTGAATTGGCTTAGTAGTATTGTGTGTGTGTTACACATATTAACATACGAATAAAATTAAGATGATCATATATCCTAACCGTTTTTTTCCCTTTTCTGTTTTCATTTGGGAGAAGAAAGCAATTGATGAACTCGAAAATAAGAACAGAGTATGCACCCACAATTTAACAAGTTTCAGAATATTATATTGATTTTTTTTTCCTAGTCTAGTGTAACATCCCGAAATTTACTAAAATTACGATTAGTTCCCTGTTAAGGTTTAGTCCTAGGAACCACCTTAGCAAGGTCTCTATTATAACGACTTCTAACCTATATTCATCTCATTTTTTCCTAAACAGCTTTCAAGATTTCATCAGAATCTTTATCTTTTTTGTTTCTTGGTCCCAGAAAACTCTCTTTGTCATTTGGTCCTTAAAAATCCTTCTATTTTTTCAAGAAACTTCTGATACTCCTCTCAATTAGAGTCCAGTAACTTGCTTGTTTCGTACTATTTCTTACACTTCTATATCCAAAATTTGGAATGTTATATCATGCACTTATGCTTTTTAAAAAAAAAAAAATTGGATCATGCAATGCCATATTTGTATATAAATATGTGCGTGTTAGGAAAATAGTAATAAAAACATATATACACAATATAAAAATAACAGAAAGAAACTCAATCAAATAAAAATAGATCCTTACCTTTTTCTTTTTCTTTTTTTTCAGATTTCAGTGTTGAACGAAGAGAAAATAAAAGAGATTCTCAAACCAGAACACAAGAATGCAAATCCTGTCAATCAGAAAATGTAAAAGAGATTTCAATATAAATATCTGGATTAAAACTATACAAAAATCATATTGTATATTTAGCAATTTCTTGCGATTTCAATCGGAATAAAGAGAATCTTGAATCGCATACAAATTTCAACATGAATTATAAAAAAAGAAAATAAGAACTCATGATCATGCAAAACTATTATTATTAATGTATCAAAAAACTGTTATTATTAAAAAATTGATCTAAGGATTGATGAAGACTAAAATAGAAGGAAAAAAGAACATACAGGTAGCCAAAGAACTGAGAGGAACACAGCTAACTGAAAAGGTATGAAGCTTCCTGGCCCGCTTGTTTTTCCAATCAAATGCAACTAAACATACAGTTTCGCATATCTGTTTGTCATGAAAGTCATAATCAAAATGCTAAAAATGATTGGAAGAATACTCCAATTAGTGTGTGTGTGTGTGTAAAGGAAAAATGATAATATAAACATAAAACAATATAAAAATAAAAAAAACACATTCAAATTAGTATATATTCTTACTTTTTCAAAAAAAAAAAAAAAAAGAGAGTGCGGCGTCGTTTCATAGATAAACTGGGAGAAAATAAAAGAAATCTCGAATCAAAAATCAAGAACACAAACCACTGTTAACAAAAAAAAAAAGAGACAAACGAAAGCTTTAATTATAATAGAAAATATATAATAAGAATAAGATTAAGGTGATCAAAAATTAATCCATTCATATGATATTTTTTGATATCACAAGGAATATGCATTTCTCTTTTGAACTATTTTTTTAATAGGCAAGGAGTAAGCATTTTGCAGTTCTCCTCTTCCAGAAACTTTTTATAATTGAAAGTATTCAATATAAACATCAAATGGATACAACATTATAATTAGAACTATACAAAAAATATCATAAAGAGAATACTAAAGGAAACGGTCACTTTTTACAATTTCCATCATATTAATTGTCGTGTTCCTTAAAAGAAAGCAGGATACATCATGAGGGGGAGTCTGAAGCCTAAAATACATAATAACCAACTTTTTATGGGGAAAAAATAATCTCTTTAAATCACTGAAAGAAGATGATCAATAAATTCAACAACTCATTTTTGGGCCACTTCATCTTATCTCAAATCTAAAAAGTAAAAACTGAATCACCTTTGAAAGCTTGTATTCTTTTCATGACCCACCCAAAAGTTAAAAATATATATATTTTGTTGCAGAGTTTGATTGAATTAATTTTTTTAATTGTGACTTTATTTAAATTAGCCTCATGCTTGCCAAATCACTATGGAGTCTCATGTTGCCCTTAATCTTGATATGCAATGACTTTTTAATTTTGTTCTATTATAAGATATATTTAATCGGCTCACTAAAACTAAGAAAAATATTGACTTATTTGATTTTACTTAAACATGAAAATTATTTGAATTTTTCTCTCACATTTCAAACAATGCTTAAATCTGACTTAGTATATATTACTGAATATCAAATATAAAAATATAAATTAGATCTTAAGGTGTCATAAAAGAATTACATCAGACTTTAATGAGTGCTAATATTAAAAAAAGGTAGTTAATATTCACTTGATCATTTAAACAAAAATTATATTATCTCTTATAAGAAAGGGAAGACTATTCTGTATCAATGATTATCCATTCATCATATCACAGAGGCACTGCGCGCGCACCATTGCCAAAGTTTCGAATCACATTAATTGATCTGTTCTTATAAAGAAAGACGTCGACATATATCATAAAACGTACATTTTAAAAATTAAGCTGTTCTGCAGATTATTAAATGCTTTTTTATTCCTTAAAACGTCCCTTGCTAAACATGAGATGTATATTTAAATTTCACAAAAAATTGTCAACTATTAATTAATGAGTAAGTGTAGGAAAAAATTGTTTTGCAACAAATTTAATAAGCTCACATTTTTTTCTCCTATTTTATATCTGGTTTGTATAAGCTTAGTCATTAGTGTCTTATATTTTAAAAAACTGATAGAAGAAAATCGAGTATTATGAAAGGTTTCACTGCGTCTTCCAAAAATTGTGTTGCTTTGTTTAAATCATTAGTGAAGTTGAAATTTGAAAAACGAAATCACAACTAACAAATTACAACTCTTATTCTATGAAATGACAATAATATTAAATTTTTTTGCCAACGACAATAATATTAAAATCAGTGACAACTAATCTCAAATTCAGCTTTGCATGTTATAAGTGTTAGCATATGGATAAATAGGAGTGACAACGTTTTGTCCAGCAAATCACAATACTTTCACTTTGTCATGTGATGTGGATATCTCATATACCCTAGAGCTCATAAAAAATATTTTTTCCTCTAATTCTAAATATAAGAGCTAGTTTATAATTTGTAATGTAAATTACATTACAAACTAACTCTTATATTTAAAAGTGGAAGTAGTATGTTGAAAGACTATAATTAAATTAACTTTTCAATTTGCTCATGATTAATGCTAATAATCTCTTTAAATCTTATAATTATCTTCTTCAACAAATTCCACTTATAAGTTGGAACACATATTTCATCTTATCCTTACTCGTATTGAGTCACATCAAAAGACGTTTTCAATTCTATTTATAGGACATCAAAAGAAATTGTTTTTAATGTAGATGTAAAATTTTATTATTTATTTATTATTGTGTTAACTTTATTTATATAAAAATATAATGCATATTAAATAGTTAAAATTTGTTGAATTTTAAATGAGAGTTAATAAAGTTTAAGGTTTTTCTTAGGATGTGTGAAATATATTAGAAATGACTTATAAATAGGGACAGGTAAACCTTATTATGTAATTGGCTAATTACTTTACTTTTAATTTAATATACTTTCTCCAGTCTTTAGAATAAGAACTAGTTGATTAATTTAAATAGATTAAAAAAATCAGTTAAGTTAATTATTTGTAATAAATAAGTTTTACCTTTTTTAAAATATCCTTACTAACAAAATGTAGTGGTTAGAACTATTATTATTACAAAGACTACCTTAGAGAGAAGGTGGATGATGATTGAGATCTTTTGCATCTTTAATCAATCTCTTTCTCTTTTCAAGAGAGAAGGTGGATGATTATTGAGATCTTTTGTTTCCAGGTTGTTTTGATTTAATAGCATTCAGTTACACTCAAGTATTATGTGTGTAAACTTTTCACAGTCTGATGCTTTTCTGTATCAGCTACTTCAGGGCAATAAAATTTTCAAGCATGCATTTTTCAGTAGTTTTTCCTGATTTAAATGGATTAGTACCTTTCTTTTTTGCCTTTTCTTTTCCTGAAAGATAGACGAAGCTATGAATGGAAGCATAAAAAGCACACTAGAACGCACGACTGTGGACCCGAAACAAGTCCTGCGTAAATAAACATTTTCAGGATGAAATTTATAGTTTTAAACTATTAAAATTATCAATAAAATTTGATGCTTACCATAAGGAGAGCGGGCAACAAAAGATTAAATTTAATGGAAGAATTATGGAAATGTTAATATCACAAACTTAATTAAAAGTATTTTAGCAATT